ATACTGAAAAAGTGTAAAGGTGAAACAGTGGTCTTCACCTGTACTGAACAGACTGGTTCTCAGCCTTTAACTCAGGTTGAGTTTCAACGGCAGCTCTCCTGTGTTTGCTGCCAGCCACCACAGCTCATTGCAATTTGGAAGGTCTCACTGTCCAGAATATGAACATCAGTTCCTAATAAATGTAAATGCAAATGTGCATTTTTGTTTGCTTCTCTGGAGGACCATGAGCTATGCTGTGTAAAGAAGAGGGCATGCAATTGTACCTGTCATAGACAATGTGCCCATGAGAGCCCACTCCTATGTTTACTTGAAACAGTACTGGGAAATCGGTGGCCATGAGGGAGGATCCCATTAATGTCATGCTAAAAATTTCAAAGCTGTTTCCTGATATCCCCAGTGTATTTGTCTGTTAACTTTGTGATGACTCAGAGATCATTGAGGGTAAAATGAGCAGTACTGTGTGACATGAGAGCTCACTGTGACAGCATCAGCAGACTAAGCTGATGACAAGCCAAGGGCACAAATCCTCAGTGATTGATCTTGCAAATTATTTTTCTCCATATTTATTTCAGGTAATATCCAACTGCAACCCACTCTCATACGGGAATATCCATGATGCACAGACCCATGACGCACAAACAAACAAACAAACAAACAGAAAGATGTATTTGAGTAATCAAATTATTGTGAGTATTTGCCAAGATGTATGTTTTCTTGATATAGAAGTGAAGGGTAGTAATACATGATATTGACAATATCAATATTAAAGTTAACTATGCAGTGAATCCAGTGACTTGGTGGCACACAGAACTGACACATGCTTGATAAATCTAGCACGAGTCCCCAATCCTGTGGAAATGGGGACTTTCTCCTACTATCCTATGTAGAAACCAACTGTCACATTCCTCAGCCAGTGAAAACCAGAATAGATGCCTGTGTTTAGGAATTGAAAACTCAGTGCCTGCTAGGCAGCTAGATTTGAGGACATGGAGTCCACATAAGAAACATCACACAGCTGTTCCATGACTGATACCAGAGAAGACCAGCTTGGAAAGAGGGCCTGAGTAATGACCAGCAGGGCCTGAGTAATCACCTCTGATGACTTGATCAGTGCAGGAATGTCAACGATGGTTGAACCAGAAACCTAGATACAGAAGGAGATGTTGGTTCCTACAGCCCCTGATTGGTACAACTGGAGGGTCAATGAGCAGTGGTTCTGTTTCTGTGTGGGATGCTGAGGTCCTGAAGGCAGGTGATCAGAAGGAAAGACAACCAGCATGATGGAGAATTGATAGAATAAGAAAAACCAGGGTGTCCCTTCCAGAGTTGATCTCACTCGCCAAGCAAGTAACAGTCGGGCCTAGAATTCATGTGGAGGCCCAGCCCATATGGTAGGAACAGAGGAGAATGGAAACTTCAATAGCATTACCATGAAAATCATCAATGTGTGTGTATGTGTGAATAACTGAACAATAGAAAAGTGGTGGGATTAGGACCTCATGTAGGGTCCTCAGATGGGACCTTCAAATGGAGAAATTTGAGGACACAAGAGGGCTCCAAAAAGCCCGAGAAGTTCCAGACTCAGAAATGGTGGCAGTATCAGTGCATCAGGCAGCTCTAGGAAAGGGGCTTCCTGGTGGGAAACAGAGCCCTGCTTTGTAGGTTCCTTGCAGAGTCACTGGGGTTGAGTAAGATCAGTTCTCTGTGCCTAGAGATGTCAAAACACTTGGTGTCCTTGTGGGAGCATCCTAAAGTCAGGGTACTATCTTCAATTCTCAACTACTGCCAATGAGATATCCATGCGCTCTGAGCTCAGACAGGACCCACAACTGCAGGACCCAGGCTGGGCAGCAGGGTGCACATGGGACCCAGGAGCTGAGGCCAGCAGACCCAGGATCAGGTGGAGAGGGAGCTAGGAAGGAATTTTCTCTGAGGTCCTGCATCTTCCTCCTCCAATAAAAAACATCTAAAGTAGAGGCGGACATGAGGTGACTCTAAATACTCTATTCCATTGGAGCATTTACAAAAGTATAAGGCATGAGGACCACAGCCAATAAGGGCATTTCTATGGCTTCTTTATATCTCAATTGTAAGGGGCTGGACACAGGGATAATTTTTATTTACTCACTAGGTGGAGAATTTTATTGACACACTGGCTCAGTAATAAGACATTCATGTACCAGGGCCAGACTGGCCCAGGTGTCTCTATGCTACTCAAAGGTTGGTTAACAATGAGAACCATGTTCATTGGGGGCTTATTTTTCAGGGAGAGGAGCTTTTTCTTTGCAGAACTTAGGGACCTGGCAGGGGACACATATCCTCACACAGAAATTAGGACTGGGTCTATCAGAGTTCCATTGAATATGGTCTCTGTGTCCTCCAACTTCTCTCAGCTCAGGTAAGGACTTCAGCTATTAAACATTGTGCCTCCTGAATATTCAGAGAAGAGAGGTAGACAAGATGGAATATAAGTGTGTCTGGGCCCTGAAAGCATCACACATGGCAACACACTTCCCTCCAGGAGTCTTGATGGCACAATTACTCACCATAGACTGGAAAGGGAGAGCCCTCTTCCTGGTGGCAGTGGCTGTATGGAAGATACTCTCCAGTCTCTGGGTTGATGATGAGACCAAGGACAGGCAAGGGACATTTCCCCAAACTCCAATCTCCTTTCCACAGGTGACCCATCCCAGGTGCAACTGGTGCAGTTTGAGGCTGAGGTGAGGAAGCTTGGGGCTTCAGTGAATTTCTCCTGCAAGGCTTCTGGATACATCTTCACAGGCTACTGGATGCACTGGGTGCAAAGGCCTGAGTAAAAGGGCTTGATTGGATGGGGAGAAGCACCCCAATGATAGTGGAAGAAAGTACACATAGAAGTTCTAGGGCAGAGTCACCATGCCTGCAGTCATGTCCATGAGCAGAGCTTGCATAGGGCTTAGCAGTCTCAAAGCCAAGAACTTGGCCATGTATTAATGTGTGAGAGACACAGTGTGATGACCCACTTGCTGAATGTGTCACAGACCACGATGGGTGGGGCAGTTTGGCTGAGCAGAGGAGATGACAGAGTGATTGACCTCCTGACTTCCTCACACAGAGGTAGGATCTGAGACCAGGACTGATGCTGCTACAGGCATATCAGAAACTCAGGGAAAGTTTCAGCAGACCAGATACATAGCAGAAAAGAAGCAGGGAAGGTGCAATAAAAGGGCTCCTGTTATTTGTTGTCATTGTGCAGGGGGCACATTTGGAGCCTCCTCAATCCCTGAATGAAGTATTTCTTTGAGGTGCCATTTGGGAATCTTTGGTCAGTGTTACCTTTGGGTATCTGGACAAGGTGTTGCAGAGCAAGTTCTAGGACATTTGCTTATTTGTGAAAACTGGAAATGTGCTTGGAGAAAAGTAAGTATGTGAAAGTAAAGGGGGATTTTGATGTTGTCTCTGGCCCAGCATCACACACATGACAGTCTGCTAGCAAAGTCCAAGATCCGGCATAGTCAGTGATATCACAGCATTCTTTCAGCCCTCCCTCAGGGTGAGCTCCTGTGGATTCTCCTCACATGATCTCAAAGGCCTGTGAGTACCCCTGTTTCTGAGCTAGTACTGATGTCCTCACACAGCAAGGAGCATCATAGGGATGCCCTTGACAGTAGAAGACCCATATCTAGCCTGTACTATCTTCATGTGACAACTGAAACAATTATCGCACACCTGGCACTAAAATCTACAAACATTTTTCTTGTACATTCTAGAGCTCAGTGTAAAACTGTCAGTTCAAACCAGCTTCACTCACCATTCATAGAAATTCATCACCATGCATGGAGTACTGTTTTCCATTTTGCGCATCGATACTATCAGTACATCAGGTTCAAGTTCAGAGGATTCCTGTCAAGTATGGCCATGGTCACAAACTCCCATGGGTCACGTGGAGACATGAATACAGAATGTGAAAGAGAGGAGATGGTTCTTATGAAATTAACTGTAAAAGAATCAGAGGTCTCCATTATGCTCCCTTCCCTGTTCCCTGATAACAGCTGCATTGAAGATTCATGTAAACATAGATCCTAATACCATCACGCTGAACCTGCAATGATGGACATTTTAAAATGATGTCGGATACACCAGCTCCAGTAATGAGAGGTTATTCGAATGATTTATTCATCCTGCAATCTATGGATAAAGAAAAGAATGCTCTTCATATAAAGTATGATTTTATTTATACCTGTTATTTTCTATTCATTGTTTTCACCAAGGTTTTATATAATCTAATTCTTAAAATTTCAACATACTTACTCCCCAATTTCTTTTTTTTAAATTTGATTAAATTTATTTTATTTTTTTAATATTAAATTTCTACATAAATCTTCACATAAGCACATGTACTTATGACTGACTTTCTTTTGCATCCGAAATGTGTGAACCTAGTTTTTCCAGAGTCTAGGATATGAAAACAAAAATGAGGCTGTGAACATTCTGCATTTCCAGCACCAAACTCCACTAGAAAAATATGTTCCAGGCCACACGGCCCGCTTCTGTGAAGGGTTCCAGCTTCTGTCTCCAAAAAAACCACACAGACCTTCCATCTCCTCCAACACTGTGTCCACGAGCTCTAGGGTCACACTCTCTCCTTAGTTCATAGTGTGATAGCTTTGTAGTGGAAATAAGACACATGGAACTTCCCGTGACAAGAACAGGAACCTCCTGGAATTTTAATGCTCCCTGTGGTCATCATGCGCATTGATTTCCTTGGTGTGTTCATTATTGCTGAATTTGAAAGACATCTCTTATTTTAAAAACCTCTCATTCATGAAAATTCACTCTCCTTGGTCATGTACACATCTCATGGACCAGTACAAGGTCAAATGTGAGAAGTAATTGGTAACAGAGATGTATACTTTGATATGTCACTCTCTGGGACTATGTCCTTTAGGTCAACATCCAGCCCCATATCTCTCTATGTAGTAAGAGGGTATGCAAATAGAGTGCCTCTGCTCATGAAAAGCAGCCCAGCCCAAAGTCTGCAGCTCTGAAATAGGACCCCACCCCTGGATCCCCAGGTGTTCCTGAAGTCTTGTCAGGACAGAACACAGACCACTCATCATGATATTTGGGCTCAGCTGGGTTTTCCTTGTTGCTGTTTTAACAGGTAATCTCTAGAGAATGGAAGACACTGAGTATGTGAGTGGATACATCTGAAAGATAAGGTGGATGGGCAAGAGTTTATTGACCTGATATCTTTGTGTTTGCAGGTGTGCAGAGTGAAGTGCAGCTGGTGGAGTCTGGGGGAGGCTTGGTGAAGCCTGGTGGGTCTCTGAGACTCTCCTGTGCAGCCTCTGGATTCACCTTCAGTAGCTACTGGATGAGCTGGGTCCGCCAGGCTCCTGGAAAGGGGCTGGAGTGGGTCTCAGCAATTAATAGTGATGGTAGTAGCACATACTATGCCAACTCTGTGAAAGGCCGATTCACCATCTCCAGAGACAATGGCAAAAATGAGCTCTACCTGCAAATGAACAACCTGAGAGCTGAGGATACAGCCGTGTATTACTGTGCTAGAGACACAGTGAGGGAAAGTCACCGTGAGCCCAGACACAAACTTCCCTGAAGTAGACAAGCCAGCTGCGCTGCAAGGGACACTCAGGACACCAGGGGGCAATCAGGTCACATTAAGTACTGGGTTCATTTCAGGAACAGCTGCAAATGCACATTAACTGTTGGCATCCTGGCAGGTGTGGGGTTAATTCAACACACATCAATTTCTCTCAGGGAACCTCAGTTTTTCATTATTCTGTGCTGACATCTTTACCATGTGAATTGCACAGGCCTGCTGTAATAGAAGAAAAACATTTCCACCTGCACAGGAAGCAGAATTCACCTACATTTGCTTAATTTTATCCTAGTGAATCACCATTGAATTATCATATCTTCATGATCCACATCAGATAAATCCAACATGAGGCTCTATTGAACCAAACAGTGCAGCCCAGCCCCACACAGCTCAGAGTCCAAGCCGGCCAGCAGCGAACACATGCATGCTGAATGGTTGGAAAAAAGCATATGAGCCCAATGCCAGAGGACAAGTACCCTGGGGAAGACAGTATTGACCTGACTGCATGTTCATGATGACCAATAGCAGTTGACATCATGCACATATAGAGCAACCTCCACTCTAACTTGGTACAGGTGTCCAGGATGATGATGTCACTCATAAAGAGGGACTATGAAATAGTTTCCACTTCATTGTGGAGTCCTATGAGAGCAGGGCACACTTTTTAGCAAGTCAGGAATGGCTGTTTCACATCATGTAAGGAAGCTTGTTCTGGTTTTTATTGTTCATCCATGACAAGGTTGAGGAGGTTCCCGCTCACAGGTTGGGTTTGCATGGTTCTAATCTCCCACCTATATGGAACTAGAGAGAATCACTGCTTTCTCTATATATTTCCCACCTGTACACAAGAGGAGAGTGAGGGATGAATCTTACCATGTAAGCATCCAACATGGAAAAAAAAAAGATCCTTACTTATTCCACCAAATTCCTAGGAATCATTAATGAGAACATGGAGTAAACAACCATTATGAGTAGAAAACAAATTCAGCCCCTAGAAAATGAGAACAATTTTATATGTAAGCAAAAAGAGAAAATAACAATAAATTATATGGTCAACTTAGCTCAAAATTTAGGCTGGAACCTGTTCATTATACAAGATATTCAGTTTGGTCTGAAGGACTTGTATCCCATTTCTACTTCCAAAGACAAGAAGTTTCCAGAGGACTATACAGATCCTCAGTTTGGGGAAGTCTGCTGGAGTGGCCTTCCAACTGGGCAGAAATATGATTTGATTCCTTTTGTGCTCCTATGAGTGACTGTGTCACTCAAAATCTCATACATTAAAATTTGAGACTCATGTAATGGTGTTACAATGCCTGGCCTCAGGACAAGAGTGGGTCCCAGAGTGGAGCTCTGATGAATGGAGTCAGGGCCTTCATGAGGCAGAATTGAGAAAGCTGCTTTGCCCCATCTGTCCTCTGAGATTAGAGTTAACAGCCATCTAAAAAGTGGATTCTCACCAGTCACCTAAACGGTCAGCATCTATTCTTGGATTTTTCACACCCAGATCTGTGAGTAATAGATTTCTTTTCTTGACCAATGTCCCAGGCCACAGGACTTTGTTACCACAACCAGAAAAGATTAGGACTGTAGTGTAATATGACCACACAGGTTGACTGTCTAGATTTTCATTGCTGTTTGTGTTGTAAAAGGTACCTCATGGGTGTTCTTCCAGTGATGTTCCAGGACAGTTTTTTTAATTAATTAATTTATTTATGTTTAAAATTATTTTTCAACTACAATATTCTTTCTTTTACTTCCTTCCCAGCCGACCCTTCATACCCCCACCTCCCTTAAATTTCCACCCCATTTAGTAGTTGTCTATGTGTCCTTCATGCTAGTTCCTGTAAATCCTTCATTTTTTTCCCCCTGAAATACCCTCCCCTCACCCCTCTGGTCACTATCCACCTGTTCTTAATTTCAGTGTCATTGTTTTTATTTTGCTTGCTTGTTTGTTTTGTTATTTAGCTTACTGTTAACGGTGAGATCTTATGGTATTTGTCTTCCACTCCCTGGCTTATTTCACTCAGCATAATACTCTCCAGTTCCATTCAAGCTGTTGCAAAGGGCATGAGCTCTTTCTTTCTTTCTGCTGTATAAAATTCCATTGTGTATATGTACCACAATTTTTTGGTCCACTCATTTACTGATGGGCACCTAGGTTGCCTCCAGCTCTTGGCTATTGTAAATTGTGCTGCTATGAACATTGGGGTGCATAGGTTCTTTTGGAGTGATCTCTTAGGATTATTAGGTTATAGTTCCAGCAATGGAATTGCTGAGTCATAAGGCAGGTCCACTTTTAGTTTTTTAGAAAATTCTATACTGTTTTCCATTATGGTTGTACCAGTCTGCATTCCCACCAACAGTGATCTAGGGACCCCTTTTCCCCACAACCTCTCCGACATTTGTTGTTCGTTGCTTTGTTTATGATAGCCATTCTGACTGATGTAAGGTGGTATCCCATTGTGGTTTTAATTTGCATCTCTCTGATGTCTAGCGATATTGAGCATCTCTTCATGTGTCTCTGGATGTTCTGTATGTCCTCCTTGGAGAAGTGTCTGTTCAAGTCCTTTTCCCATTTTTTAATTGGGTTATTTGTCTTCTTAGAGTGGAGTCTTGTAAGTTCTTTGTATATTTTGGAGATTAAACCCTTGTCTGAGGTATCATTGGCAATTATGTTTTCCCATACACTTGGTTGTCTTTTTATTTTAATACTATTTTCTTTATCCATGCAGAAGCTTTTTATTTTGATGAGATCCCATTTGTGTATTCTTTCCTTTATGTCCCTTGCTCTAGGTGACATATCAGTAAAAAAGTTGGTGCGTGAAATATCTGAGATTTTTTGGCAATGTTTTCCTCCAGGATTTTAATAGTTTCATAGCTTATATTTAAGTCTTTTATCCACCTTGAATTTATTTTGGTGTATGGTGTAAGTCGGTGCTCAAGTTTCATTTTTTTGCATGTAGCTGTCCAGTTCCCCCAACACCATTTGTTGAAGAGGCTATTTTTAGTTCAATTTATGTTACTGTCTTATTTTTCTAATATTAAGTGCCTCTAGAGAGTTAGGTTTATTTCGAGGCTCTCGGTTCTGTTCCATTGGTCTATGTGCCTGTTTTTATGCCAGTACCATGCTGTTTTGATTACAGTGGCCTTGTAATAAATTCAATATCAGGTATTGTGATTCCTCCTACTTTGCTCTTCTTTCTCAAAATAGCAGCTGCTATTCAGGCTTGTTTGTGGTTCCATATACATTTTTGACGTGTTTGTTCTATATCTGTGAAATATGCCATTTGTACTTTAATAGGTATTGCATTGAATCTGTAAATTGCTTTGGGTAGTATGGATATTTTGATGATGTTAATTCTTCCAATCCATGAACACGGTATATGTTTCCATTTATTTCTGTCTTCCTTGATTTGTTTCTTCAGGGCTGTGTAGTTTTTGGCATGCAGGTGTTTCACCTCCTTAGTTAGGTTTATTCCTGTATATATATTTTTTTGTTTTTGCTATATCAAATGGTATTTTTTCTTGATTTCTGCTTCTGCTGACTTATTCTTAGTATGTAAAAATGCCTTTGATTTCTGGATATTGACTTTGTTACCCCCTGTTTTACCAAATTCATTTATTAGTTTGAGCAGTTTTTGAGTAGAGTCTATAGGATTTTCCATGTACACTATCATGTCATATGCAAACAGTGACAGTTTTGTTTCCTCCTTTCCTATTTGGATGCCTTTTATTTTCTTTTCTTGTCTGATAGCTCTGGCTAAAACTTCTAGTAGTATATTGAAAAGAAATGGTGAAAGTGGACATTCTTGTCTTGTTCTGTTCTTAATGGAAAATACTTATTTTTTGCCCCTTGTGTATGATATTGGCTTTAAGTCATATATGGCCTTTATTTTATTGTTTTAAATTTTTTATTGATTATGCTGTTACAGTTTTTCTATTCCCCCCTTCATTCCCCTCCACCTTACCCCCTCGTCCCCACCATTACCCCCCCTTTAGTTTATGACCATGTGTCTCAAGTTTTTGGATTCTATATTTCCCATGCTATTCTTGCCCTCCCCATTTATTTTCTATCTACTGTCTATGCTACTTATTTTCTGTACCTTCTCTCCCCTTCTCCTCCTCCCACTCCCCTGTTGCTAACCCTCCTTGAGATCTTCATTCCTACGTTTCCACTCCTGATCTAGCTGTCCTTTTACTTTGCTTTTGTTTTAGGTGTGGTTGTTAATAACTGTGAGTTTGTTGTTTTTTCACTGTTCATGTTTCTTTCACTTCTTTTTCTTAGATAAGTCCCTTTAACATTTCATATAATAAGGGCTTGGTGGTGATGAACTCCTTGAATTTGATCTTATCTGAGAAGCACTTTATCTGTCCTTCCATTCTAAATGAAAGTTTTGCTGGATAGAGCAATCTTGGTTGTAGGTCTTTGGATTTCATGACTTGGAATACCTCTTTCCAGCCCCTTCTTGCCTGTAAGGTCTCTTTTGAGAAATCCTCTGACAGTCTGATGGGGACTCCTTTGTAGATGCCTGTCCCCTTATCTCTTGCTGCTTCTAGGATTCTCTCCTTCATTTTAGTCTTGGCTAATGTAATTATGATGTGCCTTGGTGTGTTCCTTCTTGGGTCCAACTTCTTTGGGACTCTCTGAGCTTCCTGGATTTCCTGGAAGTCTATTTCCTTTGCCAGATTGGGGAAATTCTCCTTTCTTATTTGTTCAAATAAGTTTTCCACTGGTGGCCGTGCCTTTCCCCCTTCTGGTACCCCTATAATTTAAATGTTGGGGTGTTTAAAGATGTCCTGGAGGTTCCTAAGACTCTTCTCATTTCTTTGAATTCTTGCTTCTTGACTCTTTTCTGTTTGGCCATTATTTGCTTTCTTCTGGTCAACTCCATTGATTTGACTCCCAGTTTCCTTTTCATTGCTATTGGTTTCCTGTGCAATTCCATTTATTTCAATTAGTTTCGCCTTCATATATTTGTCTAATTTGTGGCCAT